CCTTCTCGTTGTAATACCTATGTCATACCCATGTTATTATACAAATTTGTGTCCTCATAAACCACATAAACATGCACACACACACAGACTCACACACACACACACACACACAGAAAAAACATACAACAAAAAACTAATTCAGATATTAATACTATAATTGTCTCTCAATTTTGCTCAAATAACTTACATTCACCAAAGTTATTATAATTAACTAAAACTAAAACCATAAAAACATTTAATTACCTGAAATGTAATAAACATTAACTGAAATAAAATAAAAAATAGCTATATTTTAGTTTCTCAATTTCTCAATTTAATTTAGTTGAACTTGATGCATTTAAATAACTGAAACTATACAGTATATTCTGTAGTATATATATACAAACTATAACTATAACTATATAGACCAAAAAAAAAAGGACAGTTCCCCCAAAAATGAAAGAGTTGCTGGTAGCCATTGACTTCCAAAGTATGTTAAAAATACTACAGAGTTCAATGGCTCCCAGCAACTGTTTGTTCACCAACATTCTTCAAACTATCTTCTTCTGTGTTCAAACAGGTTTTAAACAACTTGAGGGCGAATAAAAGATGACAGAATTTTCATTTCTGGGTGAACTATGACTTTAAACTTCAACTACAATTACAATGAAAATTTTAAAAAATTAATTTGAATAATAAAAATATTTGTCTCGATGCTTAAATAACACTCACCAGGGTTACTATAGTTAACTAAAACCATTAAAAAACATTTTTGTTAATTGAAATAAAAGAACCTTGAATAAGTTTTCTTTTATTTCAGCTAGTTGCCAAAGCAGCATTTCTGATTTTCATTGAGTTGAACTGTGAAATACTAAAACAAGTCAAACAGACTCAAAGCTGATGATGCTGAAATAACACTTGTTCGTGCAGGAGCGTCCGTCTCATGTTTCTCTTTCTCCCGAGAGCTTTCCTGCAGATCTCATTTCTTCTCCACTCCTGATATCAGCTGTGTCATGCAATTCTTCTAATGGAGATTTCTCATTAATTGAGCGTCTGGCGTCGTAGATCACAGCTCTGTGTTTCTTCCAAAACTTGCGCTGGCAGTCATCGTCTCACTGCGAGGCAGAA